ATCAGTGTTTAATATCAAGCTGATGTGATTAAATTTTAATGAAACTTTTTACAAGTAAAAATTTTGTTCTGCCAATCCAGAATGCATATGTATATACATTAGAATTTGAAAAATCTATAATACAATCTAATGTTTTTAAATAAATATAACATATTTCAAATTTCTTAAAAAAATATAAAACCAATTTTCGTAAGTCTCTATAATTCTTAGTTTTATAATAATTGATTTCTCAATATTTCAACATCTGTAAATCATTTACAAGTACCTCAGAGCTGGAGTATATTTGGATCATTTTCTTTTAGGAATGATAATCAAAATTATTATATTCAAAATCATTTAGTTTTTAATATAATAGCGATATTAACTGTATGTCTGGATTTCTTAATATAATAAAATGTAAAAATAACATTAAGGCCAATTTATATATTATTTTGAAGAAAAACAATGTTCTGTACATATCACTTTATATGCTGGCTTTGAGGTCCAGATACATGCGATTATTATTCTGCATTGGTAGATTAAAATTTGTACACACAGAAAGCTGTCATTAAAATCTGAGGAAATTACGTGGTATAGTTCCCTCGTGAGCGTAATGTCATGAAATGGTTTTTACTCGTGCATGGAATTAATGTCTGTCGAGTGAATAGATTATTTCAAGTCCAACTCAATTTCTGGGCTTTCTAATGAAAATGGTTTGAGATTCTCCACTATTGGCGTTTGATCAGGGTCGACCCGTATCCGGATCCTGTTAGTCTCTAAAGACCGTGGGAGCGTACGTGGAAGATCATCTTTGTAAGACTCGGATATGGGTGAACTATATGATACATAAATTCTTACAACATCTGGACTCGGCTGAGGTGGCGTTGCTTTGGGTGTGGGTAAGCCACCGCTGCCCGAGCTAGCATTCGAAATATTACTTTGAGTATCGAGGCTATTGTCTAACGCTTGACACCGTGTCGCCGAACTAAATACGGAAAGGTCGGCTGTCGATGTAACAGACGTGTCTGCCAATGACCGTCGCGAGCCATTGGGAGAAGTTCCATCGTCAAGATTCGGATCAAGTGAGAATTTGCTTCCTGCACATATATTCAATTTTTATTATACTGCAATCGAATATTGGAACAACCGCGTCTTCCAACAGATTTTGCGTAAGTATAATATACATTCAACTTAAAAATTGTCTCTAACACTAACATCATCATGCCTTTTTCTATGTGTGCATAATAGAAAAATTAACATTACATACTACGAGTTTTTCATTGTAATTATTATTCAAATGGCAACGAAAGTTTGACACACTCTCAGTTCAATAATAAGCTAAGGTAACAAAAATATAATGAACATTCATATACTCAAATTTTGACACACATACATGCCTTTCTTATTTGTTTCTCTATAGAAAATCTCTTAAAGGTACTATACATATAGTTTACAAAATAATCACAGTCTACTGCCTCTTGCTTCTATCCTATTTTGTATGAGAAATTATCAATGAAAATTTTGAACACAAATTTAGAGGCATATCTAACTTTGTTTTGATGATATTGAGCATGTTAATGGTAAAGATTTATTTGTGACTATTTGTGACTGTCGATCGTGATAATTCAAAATCTCTTTTAGACTATTTTTTGTAAAGTTTTCTCTAAATATCTGATTATTAGCGTACATGATAGCTTTTTTGATAAAACCCTATTTTTAAAAAATACCTTACAATCTAGTGCTATATATAACCATTATATCAATCTTTGAATCTCTGTCTTTCTCCACATCCTTAGTGGTATTTTCTTGTATAGAATGCAGAAGGCAAGTATTTATATCACCATGTACTATGTTTTCATTATATTGTAACTCACCGCCAAGACCACAATCAGTTGGTTCAACAGGTGTTGTACTTTCTCTACCGTCTTCGGCGATCACCAAATCTCTACGTTGTGTTATGGATTCACGCATTGCATGCTGTGCTTCACTAAATTCTTCCGTTCGTCTTCCAACCTAGGTGTGATATATTATAATATGAAGATCAAACTATACAGGATATATTCAACTGGATTAGATCCATTTTGAAGTACCAGCAATGTGAAAACATTACACACTACAATATTTAATATGGATAAATTACCTTGCATAAGTGATAAGTTAAGCATAAATTACCTTGCTTGCAAATGAAGGTTCTTTGAATGTACCAAATGGAATTCGTGGTAACTCATGTGGTAACGGTGGACCAGGATAATCCAACTTAGCACGTTTTAATTCTTCCATACTGCGTTCCATGGTACTTATTACTGTATCATCATCAAAGCAGAAATCTTTTTCTAATTTGATTTGCAAATAATTACAAAATTCGTCTAGACTTTCCATTGGCATCAGAAAACGTTTGTGCATTTTCATGATTGTATATGCCATAGCCGGTAAAATTCGGTCGCCGTCTAATAAAAATATGTCCCAGATTCGAAGACCGAGACTAACAGGTGTCTGTCATAAAGAAGAACTTATTAGTAATAATATTTAACCTTAATACATATATATATATATATATATTGTAACGATTAAATAATGGTAAAAAATTAATGAATATTCCTCTACCCTCTCTTGGAAAACAACAAAGAACCATTTTAATGCATAAAGAATGGAATCGCAGCCGCACTTGTCAAGCTTTCTCTTTAATTTCGGCAAAAATTTATTCATGATTTTATCATGATGTTCTATGTAACGATTTAGTTTTGGAAATCCATCAACATAAAATCCTGAACAGAACATATATCCATTTAATTGTATTATAAATGATTCGTGATTTTAATTATGTAAAATATGATCAGACCATGCATAGTATATTTCTTATCAGCCAACAGTACTGAAAGACCCCAAAATGCATCCTCTTCATCCATATATAATAAAAGTAATCCAGCTAATACAGACATCCCCTGACAATAGCCTACTTCCATATTGTACATGCTATAAGCAGCCAACACATAAAACATGGATCGTTGTTTTATGCTATATCGTTCTCTGTTAATGGAAAATAGATGTTTGATATTACATACATATATCAAATACATATATTAGAACATGAATTATTTAGTATTGTTTTGCAGCAGATTATAAATATCATTTACACACCTATAATTGATATGATCTCTATATTGTCTAGCTACATCAGCATCAATTTGTCTTATTTCAGTAGACCACTGACGTGCAAGTTTCAACATTTCGTCGTATTTACCAGCTTGCTCTTTTTTTAAAGTTTTTATACCCAAAAGCAATGCCCAAACTTGACCACGAAACCTATTAGGAATTCCTTTGTAAACTCTACGTCGTAATTTTTCTTTAGTAGTGGAACTATCCCACTGTTTTGTCATTTTCTCCCACTTCTTTAATCTTTCCATTTCCACCCGATGACATTTAATTTCATTCGGGTCCGGTTTTTGTGGCAATCGTTTATCACTGAAATATTACAATGAAAAATTAATGTAATAAACTATACAAATGATACAAATAGAATCACTAAAAACCGCAGTGTAATAATTACTGTATGAATCCATATCTGTCAGTAGTATGATATACTTCATAGGCAGGATCTTCCCAGGAATCAATCTCTGCTCCATTCTCTCTACCACGGTCATAGCAGCTAAATATTCTATCTCGCTCTGCAGCAGACCGTTTCAATAATTCTTCCTCATTCATCCCCCGTGAGAATTCGCAACCAAACTCTTACAAACATGCCGTCTTGTTAAAAAGGGTCCTATTTATGTTAGGCTGTTATCTATAACACAAACAATATTATTAATCGGATATTAACCTAATAATTATCTTTTTTATATTTTCAGTAATCTGATAACAATGTTAAATTACAATTAGTTCCATTGTAAAATTATACATACACTAACTTGACATTAAATGTTAAAACAATATTAACTTTCTCAATTTCGATAAAATTGAAATATCAATTGCAACATAAAATCTAGGCAGGGATATTGTGATTTATTTTGTAAGCTCGTGGTAAAAGTAACTGCAATTCTATATTGCAAATTACCGATTTTCTAAAGTTAACGCACTGCATATTGACAAGAAAGAAGGTTATATACATTGAAATCAAACGATGTCCCTAGTGAAGGATGTTGATCTTACCACTAAGAAATTAATTATGTTACTATAGACACTGCATGATTAGGTATTAACTAATTTTCTTCGTTTCATATTACATAGAAAATTGTTTCCTCATAACAGCCACTCATTTAGCAAAACTGCCGTCCATACATACCAGTACACGCAGTTCAAGCCGGATTCGGATGTTTCCATTCTCTTTTATGCATCAGCGCTACCAACAGATTTGTCATAGAATCCAAACAAGTATATATGTAGCCATAACAAAATTGTCAATCTTTTCTTTACTATACCAACACCAGATACCGCGTCGACAATTGCAGCACTAAAGTAATTGAAATTATTCTCATTATTATCTCTCACATGATAGACACTTTATTGCTATAAATATGTATGAAATTCCTGCGATTTTATTGAAAATTATTCTTCAAGATTTCCTATTTTTATACAATATCTTATCTCCTACTTATCATATTCTAAATTGACTTGTTTTTACTACTCACACAAATAATGACGCAGCTACAATCATCTATTTACTTTGTATTATGATAGTGTTTTCACTATAATGAAATGTAATAATCTATGTTATCTATTTAATTAAACAGGAATGAGTATGTACTTACAATTAAAAGGATGTTTTATTATCAGTACACGATCGTGACGACTTATCTCTTCAATAATGAAATAAAATATTTACTACGTTCAAATCGTTTTAGCATATAGTAGAACGAACATGCTAATTCAGAATATACGTACAAAAATCGGGAAAGATATTGTTATTTAGTGAAGATTTTTATTCTATAAATGATTAAAGTAATTAATATTGTGTAATCTGGTATCTACTATTTCAGCAATAATATGTAGCTACGAAAATACGTACATGCTTATATACGATAATCTGATTATCGTCATCATTATATCTGATACTCGTGTTGTGAACCAATAACAATAATTCGAGTAAACAATTCCTATAGTACTAGTAGTGGAAACTGTGTTCATAGGATTGTAAATTTGCTATCGATAATATCGATCCTCTACTTACTTGCGAAATAAGAAGGCAAAGGTTCAGCCTAGAAATACTTTCATCTCATTCGATTTCGTATAAAAGTACCGCTATTCAAAAGTCATAGCAATAACGAACAAGAAAATAGGGCTGTAATCCAATTATAAGGCACACGTATTTGATTATCCAGCACTGTCTCGGTTTCGAACACGCCGGATAATCGGAATTCTGTGGTATTTGAATTCCTTTTGCCAGAGGAATTTGCGTCCACTCCCTCT